GAGGTTGCATGAGAAATCTCACACTGGTGAAAGGCTGTTTAATTGTAGCATCTGCCTATTTTTTTTTCTGCTTCAACATCATTAAACAAAAAATAAGGATACTTTCAAAAAAGGAAGAGAAAAAATGACTACTCTAAAAACAATTCATAGAAATATGTGGAGCCTAGACAGAAGTTCCTTTCATACACAAACTGGAAGAAATGATACTTTTGCAACAATTATTTTCACATGAACATATAATCACCGTATTTAAACACAATCATGAAATACAAATCAATTCAGAGAATCAAGTTTATAAAAGAAATAATGAAGAAAAAAAAATCACCTCAAAGGTGCTGCTTCGTTCCCTCCTGTTCATAAAACAGACATATACCTCATCACTCACAAGCGATTTTCGTTAAATTGGGAAAACGTGTTAATCGTTGTATTCATGCCACGGGTCAGTATATGGGTGTCTTCAATATGCTGTGTAATGCCCGTTGAAAGTAGTCCCTCTGTGATTCGAAAGTGCATATAGATTATAACGATAGAGTCATATTATCTGCTGCATAATTGCTCATATATGATCCTTCTAAAGAAAAGTCAATGGCAGCATTCAATTTGAGTAGATGAACAAGGCGGGAACGAGCCCACTTCAAGGTCGTGCGTCGTTGGTAAGTATTGGATGGTAGTAAGAGAGAGACTTTAGTGAGTGAAAGAGAGAAACGTGTGACGTCATCAACGCAGGATGGAATGGGTATCGGAGAGATTCAAAGAGCGTGGGCCCCCTTGGAACTCCGCCTCACCCTTTGGCCCTCAAAGTACTCCGCCTCACCCCTCGGACCCCCTTGTCACGTTCCAGTCACGTGATCCTAATTAAAGAAGTTTATTGGTATGAGAATCGAACCCAGGACGTCCGCGTGGTAGACATTGACCTTAGCCTCTACACTCTACACCAACGTAAGATATTGAAAGTAACTGAGAAGGATGGGTATTTATAGCGTTAGTTTTGTCGGAACCGAAATTGACTCATTTTATATACTTGACCTCATTTTTTTGATTTCCGTAGAATGTTAGAGAAGTTGTAATCGTCATTATCATGTTGAAGATAGGAAAATATACTTAGATTTGGGAAATAATTAATATTTCATATAAAGATGTGTATGTATGTAAGAGCGAGAGACGCGTGTGACGTAATCGAGGCAAAGAGGTATGGAGATGGTATCGATGTTTTACATTCCTAGCGCAAGTAGGTGTTGCCAGTTGTAAAATAAATCGTTGTTTATGAGGCAATATAGCGTTGCCGGTTTCAAAATTAAGCGTGAACGACTCCATGAAAATTGGAGGCGCGAAAGTGATATATTAATAATAACGAATCAGATTTGAAAAAAATATTA